GGAAGGTCAAAACTGGAGAGGGTGGTTGCAAAAGATGGGTAGGGGGTAGCAGGGTCGCCTCCAGAAGCTGCAGCTCCAGATGAGGTCAGGTGTTTATGGATATCTGTGATTTTGGAGACGAAAAAGGACATAAGTTTATTGCAAAAGTCATCGGATTGCATATGATGGGGAAGGGAGTCGGAAGATTTGGTGATGGAAGTGAGAAGGGAAAAGAGAGTTTTGGAGTTGTGACGGTTGGAGTGGATTAAGTTAGAGTAATATGCAGATTTGGCAGAGGAGAGGGAAGTCTTGTACAGTGCAATGTGATCCTTGTTCATATCTTTGTGAAATTTTGGTGAGTCCAGTTTTATTGGCAAGGAGTTCCAGCTGACGACCGCAAGAGTTTGAGGTGATGGAGAGCAGGAGTGAACCAGGGAGCTGAGTGAGTGAAGGAGACTGATCTAGATTTCAGAGGAGCATGGATGTCCAGGAGAGTATGGAGATTTTGATTGTAGTGGGAAACCAGTTCATCAGGTGAGCAGCAGGCAGATACACTGGGGATATTACTGATGTCAGAGGTGAAGGCGTCAATGTTGATGTCCTTTACATTCCAGAAGGGGATGATGTGAGGGAGGGTGATTTTAGACAAGGGGAGCTTAACGTTAAAAGTAATGAGCATGTGATCGGAAAAAGCTTCGGTATGGGATTTACAGTCAGAGTGGGTGATGCCAGAACAACAGACTAAATCTAGAATATGATTTTTACAGTGAGTTGGGAAGTTGATGTATTGATGTAGACCGAAGCTTTCCAGGCAGGATGAGAAGTCTCTGGAGAGAGAAGCACTGATATTATCCATGTGAATGTTGAAATCTCCCAAAATAATCAGATTATGGGAGAGGGTTGAGAGATGTGTGAGGAGCTTTCCAGGCAGGATGAGAAGTCTCTGGAGAGAGAAGCACTGATATTATCCATGTGAATGTTGAAATCTCCCAAAATAATCAGATTATGGGAGAGGGTTGAGAGATGTGTGAGGAGCTGAGAAAAGTCAGTCAAAAAATCCTTATTATATTTAGGAGGACGGTAGACGGTGGTGATAACTGTGGGAGAGGGTCCAGGCAGCAGTGAGGCGGAATATTCGAAAGAACAAAAAACAGGAGCAGCAGGAATTGGGAAAACCTTCCAGCTCTCGCGATGAAACAATGCGAGACCTCCGCCGCGTCCAGACGCACGAGGCAGACAAACGTAAACAAAGCCAGGTGGTGCAGATTCGTTAAGAGAGATAAAATCATTAGGAAGCTGCCAGGTCTCTGTCAAACATAAAAAATCAAGATTATGATCCGCAATGGCGTCTCTGATTAAAAGCCCCTTATTACTGAGTGAGCGGATGTTCAAGAGACCGAAGCTGGCAGAGTTGAGTTTGGAGGCGGGGTTAGTCACCCTGGGTAAGCTAGCCAGGGTAGCCGGATTAGCACCCCGGCGAGCGTGACGAGAGCCGCGGCGCGTGGTGAGCAGAGTCTGTATGGAGGGATCGGGGTTCCTATGAAAGCGCTTACCACGCGATCCACAGTGGATGTATCTCCGGTTGGGCTGAAAGGTAATGCTGGAGGGGATGGAGCAACCATGTGGAGGCTTGAGGACGTCGACATGGCGTTGGAGCTTCAGAAGTTCGACAACGGAGTACTGGAACAGAGCGTCAGCTTGCAGTTGGGCAAGTGACACCAGAAGGCAGCCTAGCGTAAACCATAACAGCGACCGGAGGATCCACATCATCCTATATGGAAGAAGGGCTGGAGGGCCAGGGATCCTCAGGTATGTCGTTGACCAGTTGGCTGGAAACAGGTGGGCCGGTTGGCCAACGAGTCGTGTGTTGGCAAGAGGGCTGGTCGGCTAATGACTGGTCGGCTGTAGACAGGTGGGCCGGTGGCAGGTGGGCTGACGGGTCGGCTGTAGACAGGTGGGCCGGTGGCCGGTCAGCTGATGACGGGTTGGTTGTGGACAGGTGGGCTGGTGGCCGGTCCGCTGGTGATGGTCGATTGTTGACAGGTGGGCCGGTGGCCGGTTGGCTTTAGACAGGTAGGCCACGGACAGGTTTGCTGTTGACAGGAGACCGCCGTCGGGATCGCAAAGCAGCGGTGAGCAGCGGCGATATCCACGCCAGCGTTACTCAGACCGGAAGCTTATTGTCATGAACATTTATCAGGGGATCAGCTCAATTTATAAGGGGATCAGCTCAATTTAAATAAAAAAAATTGATTAACACACTCACTATAACATAGGGCAGCTCCCCATCAGTGGTTTCTGGTTGTGATAATGAATTTCCGCATTTACAATAGACCTCTTTGTCTAGTGGTCAATAAGTGGTGTGCTCTTTTTCTCGATAAGGATCATTACAGTCCAACAATCGGAGCCCTATTTTTCTCATCTTTATCTTAACAGCAGAGCAAAATGCTACCGTAACACCTGTTTCTGCCCGAAGCATGCTCACATGCTTTTTTTACCGCAATAATAGTCCACAAGCAACATTTCCCCCTCATTCATAAAATAGTCAAATCAGTGACATTTCAGGGGACAGGTTTAGCCAGGGACAGGTAACCCAAAACTGGGACTGTCCCCGGAAATCGGGAATGTCTGGTCACCCTGGCGTAACTCATACGCTGTTTGGCTAGCGGTCCACCATTACATAGAAGCACGAAGTACTGCTATGCTTGTTTGCTGCTGCAGCTTTTTTTTTTAAACAATTTGTTTTCTCTCGTGTAAACTGGAGCGCCAGTGGCCAAAAAGAATCCTGGCAAACCTAACCTGGCAAACTCTAATTAGCCTGGCAAACCTAAAAAGCCAAAAAACTGCTTTTTTTCAAAGCCATGCTAATTAGCAAGACAGTTAGCATTAGCTGTAAGGAATCCAGTTTGTGTGGGTTGTGTGCTGTTTGTGTTTTCTCCCTCCACCACCAGGTGGCGCCCGGTTCTCGTTGGCCCTCCCACACACCTGCGGATGGTTGGCTCATTATCTGAGGACTCTTAAGCAGCTGACTGCCACTACCTCGACGCCAGAGTGTTTGCCAGTTTTGGGTACTCTAGCCAAGCTGAGTTTAGCTGAGTCTAACTGAGTCTTTTGTTTCTCTGAGTCTAACGTTGTTTTGTCTTTGCCTCTCGGCAGAAATCATCCTGCAAACTGGATGTTTTGGCCTTCCCCCCCTGGAAGGATCGTTTGAGCTTCACACTGAGCAGGGGATGCAAACTGGATGTTTGGACCTTCTCCCCCCTGAAAGGATTGTTTGAGCTTCACACTGAGCAGGGGATAAATCTCCACATTGCTCCTCAGGGAACCAACCTAACCTAAGTAAAACCTGTCCGCCCTCCAACGAGTCAACCAAGTTCTGGAATAACCCATACCGACTGGATTCTGGGAAGGACACCTTTTCTAGAAACGTGAGTCCTGTTTCAGTCTTTGCTTTTTGCAAGTCGTCCATGTTTCCTACGGAACCTGAACTAAACTTCCCTTCTCACTTCCAGTTCCGGTTCACCAGCGTTCTAAGTAACTCTGGATCCAACGCATTGTGCTCTCAATAAACCTGTTAAACTTTTTCTCCGGTTCTCTGAGTGGTTTCCTGCATGTGGGTCAGATCGCTTAAAAAGAACATGACATTAGCTATAAGAATGGTAAAAAACTGAATTTATGTAGCGATTTTTCATTGTAGAACTTTTTTGTTATGAATGGATTGGATTACTTTTTATCCATAGACGCTTACAGACAAATTGAATATAACAATCTAAGATTAGATTTAAAGTAAGGCCTCAGAATCGCTTCAAAGGTAGGAAGTCAGAGGTTTATTTTAGAAATTCTGATTAAACATGCTGTTATGTTTCTATTAATTGTGCTTTAGTGCTCATGATGTCTATAAAATGAACTTGGCGGTTAAATTGTGGAAAATCTAGGTTTTCTTAAGATGTATAACATGTCTATGTTGATATGGGTTTATCAGGTGTAATTTTCAAGCGTACTGCTGTAAATACACAAAATGGAGCGCTGGTGTTATGCCAGGCAGGTATTTCTCGAGCATTTATCTGTCCACCAAAACTCTCAATTTTAGGGCATCCATGTATATGCAAAATGAAAACTTTAACAATATATTTAAAAGTTCCCTTTTTGTTCAAATTTTAATCTGTTTTCTCATCGGTGTGCGAGAGGGGAGGTAATTCTCAGCAGGTAGGTACCGTAAATCCTCTAATATTGGCGTGTATTCTATTAGCGGCCGGGTCTCTAACAATGGCCGGTCTTGCTGTCTGCGGAGGTAAATAATAGCTGGACTCTTATACAGGCCGGGGGTATAATAAGAACCAACGATGTTCCCGGGCAGTCCTCAAAAACTTGTGATAGTAACATACAAGTACCACAGGGGGGGCAATGCTTGCTAACGAATCCAAGCTATTAGCATGGGAAGTCCCATCCTTACACAGAGATCGTAGTGGCCTTACACTATCGTTCTGATCTGAAAGACAAAACAGCCATCGGATATATCCTTCGATATATCCTCTTTCATGGCTTTAATTGTTTAAAACTTTAAAACTCAGAGTGGTTATTTTAACATCATCTAGAGTCGATTAATATTGACATTTTAAAACTGTTGAGTTTATTTACTTAGTAATTCAATTAGTACCCTAAAATTTTTTTGCACTCTTTGAACAATGGTTAGAGTGGTTTTAAATTCTTGCAGGTTCTATATAAAAAAGATGATTTGCTAATATTGTCTTCTTCATCCTGGATTCATTTTTAAAGATTTGATTTTTCCAGACATAGACTGATATAACCTACTATATATATATATATATATATATATATATATATATATATATATATATATACAAAAATTATATACAAAAATTATATATTCAAAACTTTACCATTCAATTGCATATGACACAATCACCATTTGATTACAGGTAAGACTTGTTCACCATCAGCAAACAAGTCAGACAGGTTAGATAAGAACAACGCAGCCAAGGCACGGCAGGTTAGAGCAAGAGACTGAGAGAAAATACGACCGAAGGAGACATTTGTTGTTTCTGGACTTCTATATTTGAGGAAAAATGGAAGGTAAATAATTTTTTTTATATATCTTGAATGCTAAAGATTAACCTTCAGTCATACCCTTCAAAGAAATATAAATAACTGCATAAACACACTGTTTCTGTAATCTGATTCTTTTTGAGTATGATTAAACAACATGTCATGCAAGGCATTTATACATATAATACTCTGTTGTTTTTTTAGTTTTAAGTAATTATTTTTCACAAGATCACTGGCCTAGGCATCATGTTTGACCCTCTGACACCTTAATGTTTAAGGAAAAAAAATTTTGATTGTAATTATAATATCAATGTAAGCTTTTTGAATATTAAATAACTCTTCAGCATTGCAAAAGGTTAAAATCTATCCAGATTTAAACTTTGGGTTTTCGCTTTGCTCACCAATTTAACTGAAATATAAGTCAAAGGGGAAAGTTACCAGATGTTAACCGTCTACAATTTCACAAGACATTATTTTGGTGGGTTTGGTTTTGACTAACCCGACAATGTCTGTGTGTCTGGAATTAAGAGATAATTCAGACCCTAAAAAATAGTCAGCTGACTCTAGACAGGAATAAAATAAAGTTTCAGGTTTTGTACCCAAATAATGGCAAATGTCTGACAAGTGTAGTGGCCGAGGGATGAAACTGCAAATAGATGAATTCATAGTATACTCAAACAAAAAATCAGAGAAGCAATCTTAAAAATAAGAGTAGCCGACAAAGAAATTAAACTCAAACCCACATGTAAGAGAGAAATCCTACGAGTAAAGAAAGTAGAGAGCAGAAAAGTAGAACAAGTAGCAAGTTGCAAAAATAACTGCAAGGTAGTAAAATCTGAAAGCTAACACCAGAAAATAGAAGCACTGCAGATGATTACAGGAAGACAACCTTCAACACATATGATTCCAGACCATAGATTATAAATTTCAATAGATGAGATTCATTGTAAAATCAACAACAGGATACTTTCAGGTGGACATTTTGAAGGAAAGACAAAAATGTAAATTTCCTTTTGAATTTTTTATTTTTTGAAAACTTCTCTGTGTCTCTGTGAATATCCAGTTCATGCCTTTCTAGGGGTCAGGCCTTATGTGAGTTGATGATCAGTCCCCTCTACTGTATTTATCTGGAGTACTTCTGTTCTGGCACTAGTTTGCACAATTTCTTTACTTTAATTAGTTTTTACTACTTGCAGCATTTTTTTCTTTGCATCTGTTTTGTAGAAGATTTACTCTAGTCATATTTAGCTCCAGATCGGACTCTAATTTGGCCCTTTTCCTCACACTAGTAAAAAGTTATTTTCCTACCCCTGTGTAGAGTAAAGGATGGGGTTTCAAGATGGACTTTTAGCTGTCCTTTTGCAATCCATCTTCTGATATAGTAGTGATGTTTTCTTGCTAATGTGCAGCCAGGTCTAAACAAAGTAGCCAGGTGAATGGGAGCACACGGGATGTCACATTGACACACATGCCCAGAGAGTAGTACCTGGTTCGCTTTTTTGTAAATTAAATAATAAGGCCTATAAAGGAGACTGCAGAAGATATAGAAAAACAAATTTTACATGCTGGGCAATTCTAAGAGTATGCATAGAAATTGTAAAAGTGTAAAATAATATTTAATCCTTTTAACACAAGAAAACTGTTTTGAAATAGAAGGGTTGGATAAGGCTCTGATTCAGCCATAGTTGCTCCTAATTAACAGTGTTTTTGTCTTCCAGTTCATAGGCTGAATTATTGTAATGATTTACTGTTGTTATTTCCATTTAGGTCCAGCCACATTAAGAATTGTCCTGCTGGGGGAAAGTCAAAATGGGAAGAGCAGCCTGGCCAACACCATTTTCGGAGAAGCCATATTTAAAGTAAAAGAGTTTAATGATGCAAAATCCTTTACCACTGAAGCAAAAACCAAATTTGTCAATGGAAGAAACTTTACTTTGATTGATACTCCTGGTTTGTTTGACTCAGGCAGGCCTCAGAAGACCGTGAAGTCTGAGTTAATGAGATGTATGATAGAGAGCGCCCCTGGGCCTCATATTTTTATGATCATTCTAAAAGTGGAAAAATACACAGAGCAAGAGAAGGATGCCATCGCTAAAATACGTCGGCATTTCTCTGATGATGCTCTGAAATACGCTGCTGTGATCTTCACTCATGGTGACCAGCTCCCTGAAGGGATGAACATACAGCAGTTTGCTGCTCAAAGCGATGGCTTGTGGGAACTGGTGCAGAAGTGTGGAGGTCGCTGCCATGTTTTTGATAACAAATACTGGAGGAACACCGAGGAGGAAGAATATAGAAGCAACAAGTTCCAGCTGGCAGAGCTGTTCAAAACTATTGACAAGATATTAATCAAAAACAAAGGAGGGCACTTCAGTAATACAATACTGAATGAGATAGAGACAGAAATACAAAAGGAGATTGAACTTTTAAAGCTCTCATCAGAAAACATGAGGATGAAATCAAACAGCAGGTAAAAAGTATTGTTCTAAAAAAACAATCTTCCAAAAAAGAAGAGCTTCTTTGGAAAATGGTTTCATTCGGTGTTGGAGTATTCTCTATGTTTATCACCTTCCGAAGGGCAATAAACACAGCAGAGGCACCCCCTCTTACCATCGAGTTATTAAAGGACACTGTACAGCAAACAACTGAGGATGCAATACCAAACACATTTGAGGTCATTTCCAACTATTTTGCATTGTATGAAAAAACATACAGTCCTTTCTGTCCGTTTGAATGAAGAGTGAAGAGTGAAGTCTTCAAGAACCTTTCTAACATTCTTACTGATTCTACAAACAAGAAAGGGTAAATTCATTTGCCACCTGTTTAAAATCTGTTTAAATTCATCCACTGATCTGTTTTGGAGTTAAGGAGGAAAAATAGGAGAACATAAAACTCCATGCAGAAAGAATCCAAGCTGGGATTTGATCAACATATCACACTTCAGCTATTTTACAATAGGATGAAAAAACTATGAAAATATCTTAAACAATAATAAATCTTACAAACAGTCTCAGTTTATCACTTAGTTTAACACTATATCTACAAAAATACACAATGAAAATCATTCCCTTCTTTCCCCTTTCAGTTTAGGATGCAAATTTATTCAATTAATACAGTGTTGCTACACAGCAGCAGACATGTCAGCAGAATATCCTCGAGGTGAAGAAATATAGAGCTAAAATTTTAAGTTTTTTAAGCTTATACAATATACAATACAATATACTGACAATATAATAAAATAAAAACTACAAAGCAATGTAAAAACGAAAACAAATTCACAAATATTCTTGCATTCTTATTCAGCCGTTTCTAAATGAGAATCTTAACCATATTTAGGGGTTTTATTGTTCATAATCTTTCCGGACATTGACTTTACCTAACTTTTTATTATTATTTGAAAAATATTCAGAGTAAATCTTCTGTAAGGTTGATCTATTGTTCAAACATTTTATATACTGTTTTGTTCTGTGCTGAAGAATTTGATTCTTTTTATCCAAATGCACCAAATGTGACTAACGTTCACAATAAAGAAAAGCTACATACTTCCCTAGGATTTTAATGTGCTGTCACACACTTGCTATTAAAACATTTAAAATTCAAGACATTTTTTTTTCTTTTGCATGAATGTAATTATTTGTTGTTTTTACATACATTTAATTATTATAACCATTTGTAAGTAATTAATAAACTATTAAAAATGTGTGTCATTATTCTTGTATATATGTTTGAATGTTTCTATCACAGTATAAAAATAAACTAATTATACTATTTGTTTTTTATGCTTCTAAATCAGTTTAATTAAAGTCAGAAACAGACATCATGTCAAAAGTACCAAAAATGTTTGATTATAATCTGCTGTTCTCTGTTAACAAGACACGCTGCTCGATGAGCAAATAGCCTACAAATGCACAGTTTAATTACAGTGAAAACTAAAGTTAGAAGTTGCCTGTTCTTAACTGTCGTGGTTGCTAGGTACTTAAATTGCAATACAGTTAAGAGGGACTGATGACAAAGGTAAATTCAGTGGTGAGGAGCTAAAAACAGAAAACAATGAGACCCAATGGAGAAAAAGAACAGATAATCCAACAATGAGAAAACAGAAACCAGAAGCTTAAATGCTGTGAGAAACAAAGATCTGTACCAGGTGAGAACAATCAACAGGATGAAGGGCAGCTGGGAGGGAAAAACATTCAGAATGAACATAACAGAATGATACATAATCAAAGATCCCTAAAACATCTGAAATCCCAATAGTGTCATAAGATAGATAGATAGATAGATAGATACTTGTACTCTAACAGCAGCATATTGTAAGTATCTTGTATTTTGGGGTTGTTGTTGTGTTTAAATGTATTTGCTGACTCATAAGCTTACACCCTTAGGGACTTAAAATAAGTAGAAATAAATAAACACTGCTTTAACAAACCTGTTAAACTGGTGAAACTGGGTTCTGACCTTTTCAGCATAAGTGATGAATAAACAATAGGGATCAGAGTTGTATTATGCATGTGACAGAGTTTTAAATTTGTTCCTGGTTAAACCAAGCCTCCAGTAACTTTCCTTTAATCACCATTTCACATGTCAAAGACAAAGACTACAATGTCACAAACTCAATTCCTTTAATTTATTTTCATAAATAGCTTAAGAATGAATGAAAAAGACAAAAATCAATAAATGCAGCCATAAATAATTCCCTATATGATCCAGGGAAACATAAGCAAACAGTCTCTGCAAGTCATTATAAAGCACCACCCAGGTCATGTTAAAACTTGCTGGAGAGGCTCCATTTTCTGGAAAATTTTTGCAGTAGAGATAAACGATGTGCTTACATTGCAGGTCTGGAAAATAAACTTATACACAAGGTACTTTTAAAAATGTAGAACTCACAGAACCTCTTTTACAGGTCATCTTAAGGCAGGCATACACTGAACGAGTTTTTGCCGTTGGGCTACATATTATGAGTTTTATATTTACAAAGAAGAAAATTTGTAAAATAGGTATAAAAATTAAATTTTTTATACGTATTTTACCAGCTTGGTTATTGGTCACGCCACAAAACATGTATTTTTTATGTGACTGTTTCAGACTGCTCATGAGAATGATCCAGATTTACAGATGTCTTTTAATTGTTGTAATTCATTCTGAATATAAAAAAATACCGAAACTTTGTTAATATTGACACAGATCTTAATACCAGCTGCTGGAGGCTACCCAATGCACCTCATCTGTCCAGAATATGGTATAAACAACGGGAGCCCATTTAATTTTATTGTTATCACTATTTAAAAAAATAGGATTTTATATATATATATATATATATATATATATATATATATATATATATATATATATATATATATATATATATATATTTTAGACTTAGACTTGGAGACTTAGAGAGATTGTATTTAGTCATTTTGTATGCACAAGTGTAAACATAAAGAAATTTAAGTGCAGCCTTGGTAAGGTAAGCAGCAGTGTTAAAAAACATTGTGATAAAAAAACAGTAATCTCTCAAACATCTAATCATATGACTGTATAGTTACAGTTCTAACATTCAGTTGTTTTATAAACCATTTTACATAACATTCAGCAGTCTAATGGCAGTGGGGAAGAAACTGTTGTGGAATCTGCTGGACCTGCATCCAATGCTTTGAAGTCTCTTCCCAGAGTTCAGCAGGGAGAACAGTCCATGTTGGGGGTGTAAGGGGTCATTTATAATGTTACAGGCTCGGGGAAATGCAGTGCTGGGATGAAATGTTTTTTATGGAGGGAAGAGGAGCCCCAATGATCTTCTCTCCTATTCTCACCACTCTTCTCACCTCCTTCCATTCTGAGGCGCTGCAGCCTTCACACCACACAGTGAGACAGCTGGTCAGAACGCTCTCTATAGTGCTTCTGTAGAAGGTGGTGAGGATGGGTGTGGGCAGGTGGGCTCTCTTCATCCTCCACAAGAAGTACATGCGCTTCTGTGTCCTTTTGACCAGTAAGGTGGTCTTTGCATTTGGTTGAAGGTGTCTGTGATGTGCAGCCCCAGGAATTGGGTGCTTTTGACCACCTCTACAGCTGAGCTGTTGATGACCAGTGGAGCGTGTTTAGGCCGGTTCTTCCTGAAGTCCAAGATGTTCTCCTTCGTCGTCTCCACGTTCAGGATCAGGCTGTTGTCTTTGCACGAGCCCACCTGCTGCTTGACCTCCTCTCTGTAGTCCAGGTCGTTGTCGTCTCTGATGAGGACCACCACCGTAGTGTCGTCTGCAAACTTCACAATGTGATTGGTGTTAAACCTGGGGACTCAGTCAAGTGTCCTCAGGGGTAACAGCAGGGGACTCAGGACGCAGCCCTCAGGGGAGCCTGTGCTTAAGATTGTGACGTCAGAGGTGTTCTGTCTGACCCGGACTAACTGAGGTCTGTTGGTGAGGAAGTCTAGCAGCCAGTTGCAGAGGGGTGTATTGAATCCCAGCTGTTCCAGTTTGCCCATCAGATGCTGTGGGATGATGGTGTTGAAAGCTGAACTGAAGTCCAGGAACCATATCCACACGTCGGTGTTCTTTTCCTCCAGGTGTGCCATGCTCAGGTGGAGAGCAGCAGACGTCCTCAGTGGTGCGCTTTCATCAGTAGGCAAACTGGAACGGGTCGAATGTTGGCGGCAGACTGGAGATGAAGTGGTCTTTAACCAGCTTTTCGAAGCTCTTCATCATGATTGTAGTCAGTGCGACAGGCCGGTAATCATTTAGTGAGGTGAACCGAGGCTTCTTTGGGACCGGAATAATGATGGCAGACTTCAAGCATGCTGGCACTATGAAAATGTTCCAGTCAGAGCATTCAAAACAGATACCTTAGACGACATTCTGACCTCTTTAACTGTCTTGTTTAGCCCTGATCGACTGGGGCTTATATGCAAGGATAAGCATGACTTTGCCAGGAATCCAGTTTGTGTGGTATGTTTTTGTGTTTCCTTTCCTCCTCCACCAGGCGGTGCCCCGTCCTCATTGGGTCTCCCTGCACACCTGCAGCTCATTGCCTCATTACCTGTGGAGTGTTCTTAAGCTGCTGACTGCCACTACCTCGACGCCAGAGTGTTTGCCAATACAGGGTACTCTAGCCATGCTTAGTTTTGCAGAGTCTAACCTGAGTTTTGGTTTGCCAGTTTGGGATTCTCTAGTCAAGCTGAATTTTTTCTGAGTCAAACTGAGTCTTAACTTTGTTTTTGTCTTTGCCTCTCAGCAGGAAGTCATCTTGGAAACTGGATTTGTTTGGTCCTTTTCTCTCAGGAAGGTTCAACTGAGCTTCTAACTGAGCTGGGGTTCCAAACAGGAAGTTTGAACCCATTTTCCCCAAGAGGTCATGAGCTTCTAACTGAACAGGAAGTTTGGATCCACTTTCCCCTAGAGGTTGTTTGAGCTTCACACCAAGCAAAGGTTTCTGCAGCACTACAGCCCGTTCAAGTACTGCAGGAAATCTGAGTGGCAGTAAGTTTCTCCATTCACCAAGGAACAACCTGAGTCTGAGTAACCCAGTCCACCTATCTCCAAGCAAGACACTCACTGGTACAATCCTCTCAGTCTGGATTCCATAAAGGACACCTTTCCCTGGAGAAT